GATCCCTCTGTGTGTCTGTGCAAGCTGAGGGGGTAGGTCCCAAGCCGTGCAGCACTGCCTGGCCAGAACGGGCCCCCAATTCGAGAAAAGAAAAAGAAAATAAACAAAAGCCTCAGGATCCCACCTGCACAGCAGCATGGACCAGGAAGCAGTCCCACACTCAAGTGGAGCTCCACAGCCTTTCAGGAAGAAGCAAAGATGGCTCACGGAAACAGGCACTCTAGCGAAAGGAGGGGGAGGCAGCGAGAAGCAAGGAAGAAATCAAAAGAAGCGGCAAAAAGTAACATCAGGAGCCAACAAATGGCACACAGGGAGTTGGACAGTGCGGACGGGCAGAATCCAAGCAGCCGGTGCTTTTTGGCCAAGAGACCCTGGCTGTGGGAAGCAGAGGAGGCCAAGTAGGGGTCAAGAAGGGTGTGGAGTGGGAAAGAGTATATCGTTGGTTACCGTTCATTCTGTCTCCTGCTAGACGCTCCATAAAGCTGCTTTCTCGTACCCTCTGTTCGCTGGTTTCTGATAGAAGTCCAAGATGGCAGATCCATGCTGCCTTAGCTGATAGGGTACCTCTGCATGTATGTCTCCTTGATGTCTGTTCTCTGTCAGTTTCTTATTCCATTTGGTGCTTGGCTGAATTCTTTATCTCTTCATTTGATGCTTAGGGTTTCAGGATGGCTGTTTTCTCTGTTTGGCTTAGTTTTTCAGATCTTTGCTGTGGAGGGACGGCGTGGTGCTTCTGCCTAGAGCACCATGTTGCCGGAAGTCTATAAAAGGGAGTAATCTTAAAAAAAAAAAAAAAATGACATGGGAATAAATTAATCAATGGAATAAGGTAAACAGCCACAAGCTGATTATTTTATGTAAGTATCTGAGATAGCATGTCAGATCAAGGGATAGGGGCAGGGAACAAACTATTCAATAAATGATCTGGAGAAAAATTGTTATCCATAGGAAAAAATAGATGCAATTGAATATCTTACATCATATACAGAAAAATAAACTTTCAATGAATTAAAGACTTAAGTATTATAGAAGTTAGGTTCTGTTAAGGAGGCTGAATTACTATGAGTGATATGGAATAAGGGATTTATTATAAGGATTAAACTTTACATGCTTATAGGAGACTCTAGGATATAAAGGTTTGTAAGAGAATGGTTGGAAAATCACTTTCCAAGGACCACAAAAGGAGCTAGTGAAACAGTTTGTGGAAGGCTTAGCACTTCATAGTTGGTCCTTAAAGTGACTTTAGGTGAAGTACAGGCTGGGAAGGAAAAATGCATGCAGAGTGGGAAAATCAAGGAAAACTAGGATCTATGAGGATAAACTGGAACCTGTGAGAACAAATGAGATGAATCTGTCTCTCATCATCTCTAACCTTGATTTTGTGGATGACCTACAGAAGAAGCTAGCGCTCTTTGTTTTGTAGCTGCAGATGTGTTTGGAAGAAGCTGTAGGCGACAATTTTATTGTGTGTAAATCATCTGCAGTTGTGTTTGGGAAGACCTTCATCAGGAGCCAGAGGAATATCTAAAATCATAGATTTGATTTATTACAATAGGCTTACTATTTGAAAAAGCAGTAAGAATTGAAATGAGAATTGGAAAACCTCAGTAATAGTGACAGTCTCTCAGAAACTTGAACTGTGCAGTTGATCAACTTGAATGAATAGAGCATTCTCCGAACACATAGAGAATGCATATTCTTTTCATCTACAAATGAAACATTTGGAAAGTTTTGCTATTAATTTTTGAATCAAGTAATAAATTCGTATAGTTTAAATTCAAAAGTGCATATAGTGAATTCTCCCACCCCTTTCCTTCAAAGATCTTCAAATGAACCACTGTTACCAGTTTCTATATTTTTGAAGAAATATTCTATGTATATATAAACAGATGCATGTAGATAATTTTTTTTTGTTTTCCAACATAAAGAGTAACATATTGTTATTATTTTGCACACTCAGATTTTTATTTTTAATTTCCGTTCTTTTAATAGTTTCTATTGAAATTATAACATGCACTCTTGACAAAGTCTAACATTAATTACTATCTCTACATTTTTCAAAACCTTATGAAAATATTAGAATCTGATTGCCCCAACTCTTGCCTTCTAGCATGTTACTACCAGAATTTAACCTTTACCTATAATTATATTATTATAGCTATTATTATTTTATGTATCAGTGTTTTCTTAAGTTTGACTAGTTTTTTTTTTTTACCATTTTCTTTGCTCATCATATTTTTTTGCATTTCATCCCTTACTTCTGGGGCAAATTTCTTTATTTTTTTTAGAAGTGTCTTCAGTGAAGAACTGGAAATGATAGACCTAATTTTTCTGAATATATATTTATTTCTCTTTCATTCCTGATGGAGAATTTAGCTACGATGACTGCTTTTCTCTCTCAGCCCTCTGTCAATGTTATTCCAATATTCTGGCTTCCAACTTTGCAGGAAAGCCTTTCATTTTTTTTAAAATCTTATTTAATTTCTATTAGTATTGTTTTCTTGGTTTGGCATAAGTATTTTGCATATTTTTGTTAAATTTTTCCTAAGTTACGTTTTTTGTATTCTTGTACATTGCATTGGTTTTGAAATTAATTTTCCAATTAAATTCAGTTATTATTCTTAATACCTTTTTATAGCTTCCTTGAAACCCTGGTAGTGTAGTGGTTAAGAGTTCAGCTGCTAACCAAAATGTCAGCAGTTCAAATCCACCAGGCGCTCCTTGGAAACCCTATGGAGCGGTTCTGCTCTGTTCTATAGGGTCACTATGAGTCGGAATCGTGTCGATGGCAGCAGGTTTGGGTTTTTTTTTCCCCAGGATTTTTTACTTACATAATCATGTTCCTTCTTGTTTTCTAATCTGTATGCTTTTCATTTTTTTCCTTGTCTTATTGTACTGTCTAGGCCATATAGTACAATGCTAAATAGAAGGGGTTGGAGTGGACATCCTTGACTTGTCCTTGGTCTTAGGGGGAAAGCATTCAGTATTTTATAATTAAGTATGATGTAAGCTGTAGGGTTTTTTTTTAGATGCCCTTTATCAGTTTGAGGACAGTCCCTTTTATTACTCATTTGCTGAGACATTTTATCATGAATAGGCTTTGAACTTTGTGAAATTATTTTTTTGTGTCTGTTGTAATAATTTTAAACTTACATACCTATAATGAAATAGCTCTAGTATACATAAAGAAAGGAAAACCAGGGAGAAAAATTAATAAATTGAAGGAGATTGCAAAATAATTTTCTCTCAGTCATTGATAGATATAGCAAATAAAAATTTAGTGAGGATACAAAAGAATCAAACAACATAATTAACAAGTTTAATCTCATGGACAAATAGAGAACTTTGCACTTAAAATGAATTCACATTTTTGTTACATCCATGAAACATTTTTAAGAATTATTAATATGCTATTCCATAATTTATTTTTGACAAATTTGAAAGAGTTGGCATATTACAGACTGCATTCTCCAACCTGAGTGTTATTAGGTCAATTAAAAAAAGATAAATTATACCCATACACATGAAAATAAGAAAGAATACACACTTCTACTGTAATACACATTTTTTTCTAACTCTGTCATCTCTGTCATTGTGATACATCACTCAGTCAATGGTATTCTAAATTTGATGAAATATGGTAAAAACATTTTATAGACCCAAGAAGAAAATATCTAGAACTAAATTATAATGAACATACACATGAAACCAATCTTTTCTGTCTTTGAGCATTTACAAGGTAAAACTGTATTATCAGCTGGGTAGTAGTTCTCCTTAAGTCTCACCTCAGTGGCCCAATGTGTGTGACCTTTTCTCTATCCTAAGCCCATTTAAAATGTGTGTCCTAATTTTATAAATCATTTTATGTCTACTGTTTGTTGTCAAAATGTTGTCAGATAATTCTAGTTCAAATATTAGTTGGGACTATAGAGGAGCCTCAGATTTGATTGGGTCTAAGGCTTTTTGACGTAAGAATTTAGAAGGAAATTAGTAGTGATAGTTTCTTCAGTGGGACCACATGATAAAGAACGAATAGATGTCTCTTTTTAACCATTAAGAGGGAAAATGAGAACTGCAGTTAGGGCAGGAATTAAAACAAACAAACAAGAAAAAATTTATAGAATATGTCTAAGAGGAGATCAGAAATATCATAGAGCATTCCTGGAATATTTTAATTATAGCTACTTCAAACACAAGATGAGTTCTCAGTGTTTACAGGAAAGTGTGTATTTTCTGATAACTGAGTTCAGTCTATTTAATAAATAACTTGTCATGTAAGAAGACATACAAAATAAATTATTTTTTGAAATAGCAACATTGTACTCATTCATCATTAAAAGTTTTCTGATACCAAGAAAGGGAAAACTGTGTGTCCATTCTTGAGATACATGTCAGACAAAAATAAATTTAAAAAAATTATAATAGGTTTATTTATATATGTGGTATGTTTCATAATTGTGAAGTCATAATCTGCTTTAGCCCTCAAAGCTCTTGTTTACTGAATTCAATGCTATATTTGCCATAGTAAAACTATCAACTTCAGATCATTTACATATATTATTTAGCACTTAGTATTTTTCAAGTTTAAAACCATCTATAAACTTCATCATATACTTTTCAAGAATAAATTTTGTATAAATAGTTAACTCATTACCCACATCTGCACATCATGAAATTTGTGTGAAAATAAGTGTTGGTGACTTTTCTTCTAGATATATTTTTTATTTTCAAGGGTTTCATTCAGAATCCTTTCATTTGTCTTTCAGGTTGGTAAGTGGTTTTTTTTGTTTCCTTTGTTTCTTACATAATTAGCAATTTTAATTATTGTTTACTTCATAGGGTCAAAAAGAATAAGCGATAGTGAAGTCTCTGACTATGACTGTGATGATGGAATTGGTGTGGTATCAGGTAAGAATTTTCTGTTTTATAATATTAAAAAGGGAGTGTAATCACTAGTGTTTCCCAAAAAACAGTGAGAAAGAAATAACTTGTTTTCACTGCCAGAAACAACTTTATGGCAACCTTATGACAATCTAAACAAACCCTGAATAGTTCCAATTACTGTAACACCTGTACCAATTCTTAGATTGTGTATTCATATTGAAAGATACTGGAGAAGTAAATATTTATAAATTTTCAATTTGTTTTTAGTTCCAATTACTGTAACACCTGTACCAATTCTTAGATTGTGTATTCATATTGAAAGATACTGGAGAAGTAAATATTTATAAATTTTCAATTTGTTAAACTACCAAATAATAAGAATTTTACTATAAATCTGAGGAGTTGTTGAATAATTGAAACTATGTTATACCACACTAACAGTGTAAACAAAAAAAGAAGAAGCAATCTTTTCAACATCATGAAAAAAACCCCAAAACCCATTGCCGTTGAGTCAATTCCGACTCCTAGTGACCCTATAGTACGGAGTAGAACTGCCCCGTAAGGTTTCCAAGGAGCGCCTGGTGGGTTTAAACTGCCGACTCTTTGGTTAGCAGGTGTAGCACTTAACCTCTACGCCACCAGGGTTTCCTCAACATGACTAACATGCCCAAATACGTCAAATATTTGAATGGGCATTTTTGAAATTTTTTCATTGTTGTTATTGATTAAGTATCATGACATTATTTTCCTATATAGTTGCATTTTAAAAATACAGTAATATAGTTTAAAATATTGCCTCATTTTATGGTTAGAAATTTATCCAATGATTTAGTATTTCAGATAAGTAACTGCTTTTTGTATAAATCCAGAAAATTTTTTTATATATTTTTGTGTGTGTATTACCCTTAATGTTATAAAAATGTTTTGATTCTATTCTTCTTAAAGGTTAATTAACTGAAAAATTTCATAATTATAACTAATTTTACTGTTAACAAAATATGTTCTAATGTATGTAAAACATGCTACAGTTGCATTTTTTGTTGACAAATTTTGTTATAGTATGGGTCAATAGCATGCTACCAGTTTACCACTTTTTAAAAACCTAATGACTATTTTTCTGCCTTTATTTTTTTTTCATGAAGGGTGAACAATATGTTAATTTACTAAGTCTGCAAAAATATTTTCTTTATTTTATGGTCTGTAAATTAAATAAATTTTACTTCAGAATAACAGTTTTAAAAAATATTTCCCATAATCTCTTGCTCTGAGATAATTGCAATCTTTTTCTATTTGTAGTCAATTCTTTTGTTAATTGACTATTCCACTTCTTCTATTTTTTAAGTATCTAGTCACATTAGATTTTTTTCATCCAAAATGTTTCCTTTCAAACCATTAAACCCTTTCATCTTAATGTCGTATTTAGTATATCTCAATTCTTTCATTTTCTGTTTTAAGGATGGAAAAATTTATTTAATATGATCTTTTTATTACTTTTAATTCTGTCAAAGGAATTGTATCTTTTGGAAAAACTTTATAGGATCTCTCATTATTTGGGTTAATGCTCTTTGGAATTTTTTTTTTTTTTTTTGGTGATTACAGAATAGTATTTAGAAAACTTACACGGTCCAATCATATATTAAAAAAATTCTTTCCTATCACATTTTTATCCACCTATGCAAATATATCTGGTATATCATTTAATAATCCATTGAGGAGAAAAGACTGCTGTACAATATCCTGTGTTTTGCTATTTTAAAATCCAATGTGGTTTTGAAATGTAGTCCTTTCATGATATACTACATCTTAATAAGACATTAAGTGCTCCATGGAGTCTGTTATTATTAGGAATTTCTAAGTCATCTCCATATGAACACCAAAATTAGGGTTATTGTATTGTAGTTTCTGGAATGTTAACTTTTCCGAGTCATCACGTAAATGATGTAGCAGTTACATTTACATGAGTATCATGATAACTAAAACAAACATATATTAATTCTGTTAAATATATTTCTTATGCTTCCTTTTCTTTATAGCCTTTTAGTTTTAAAGATCCACAATTAGAACTAGTATTAAGAAAGAATAAATGCTTCAGTCAATAGATAATCAAATAATGTAATGACTATCAGGTCAATAAAAATAATCTGATATTCTCTGCAAAATTGTTCTTCAGGTATCTCAAATGTCAATTGCATGTATACATATATGTAGTGTACCTCTTCCTTGCATGATTAAAGGACGAAAATGCTTAGTTTTAACTAACATTTTAAACACTTGTATCCACATAGTATAAGGTACTACACCATCACATCAGTTTATACTTTGTAGTCCATGCACAGATATTTGTTTCCACCTACAGATTGAATATCTGTTAAATTCAGGGCATCAGTTACAGCTGTTCATAACCCTTTTTAACCTGAACCTTTAATCTTTTCTCAAGAAGGAACGTATTTGCTGCTTTATTCAATTCAAATTTTATTGAAAAATTAATTCACTGTTCTAAGTTTGCAAGACAGACATCTTGAAAATTACCCATGCCTGAAGTACTATTTTTTTTTGTGTTCTTTATTTTGATTATTCTTATTAACTCAAGTCAGAGGTAATTTTGACATTTGCATTGGTAATATTATTCTGCAAAGTAAGTTGAAACTTTGATTTGTCGCTGAGGAAAAATTCTGAGACCCCGTTAAAGTAAAATGAAAGAGATCTACTGAAAGCTAAATGCATCTGAATGGAGAAACATGGGCTCCACCGAAATGAAACCAGTGACTCCGAGGTGTAGTTGGCACACATGACTAGTTATAGGGCTCGTACAAAGAGCTACAGGGAGAATTCAATGACTGGTTCAAAGGGAAATAATGAAAGTTAGGAAAGTTGAGGGAAGACTTAACAAAGTGGGGGCTCTAACGTAGTTTGTTTAAAAGGCATAGATGGGATAAACTATTTGATTATGAGGGATAACTGTGGAAATATGTGCTTACAGGGAGGTTACAAAGTTGTCACAAGACAATGACAGGACACAACCAGGTCTGTAAAAGGAGCACAAGCAAAATAGCAAGGTATTGATTAACTGTCTTTGGACATAGATTTCCTGAGATTGAAGTGTGTAAGCATTCCTTAAGTGCAGTTACATACAACTTCAAAAGACAATTGTTTTGTTAACTAAACAATGTATCTTACAGAAATAACTTGCTTTTTGCAAACATCATCTGAAAACATACTGCATGGGTAGTTTTCATAAGACCCCCTTGCGTCAAAACTTTCATCTGGAGCCATTCTTTCCATATCCCTAGCTTTACCACAAAGAAAAACATTACCTTAAATACACTTAGTAACCAGCCAAAAAATTCAGACCAAGAGTCAATGCCTGCATTAAAGAAAACTCAAAATGGATTCCTTGTCCTGACTCTGCAGCAGCCATTTTACTTTGGTCAGGTCCTCTGTTTGGTGAAACTTTTCCTTATTCCCTCCTTTTGATCAAGGATTTCCATGAACATCCTTTGATAACTCTTTGAATGAATGTTTCTTCTGCATGGACTTGAATGGTTGTATCCTCTTTTCAGTAGCTGCTCATATTGGTGAGCCTTTAAGACCCCAGATGGTTGCTTGTTTTAACAAGCTTTTAAGACCCTGGATGCTGCCCTTTTGTTACTGGGCACCACCTGGTTCCTCTAGTAGCCAGGCATCGCTGGACCTCTTCACCATGCCATAGCTTGACATTCAGCTTCAGTGATCATGTTTGCTCTCTGTGTATGAGAAGGGTGGCAAAGGAGTGGGCCACACTGGGGGAAAAACTTGACCATTTCAAACAGCCAATCTAGAGTGTGAGGACCTTCCATTTCATTGCAGAGATGGGCAGCATCTATATCTATGAGATGCATGAGCATTTGATTAATGGTGTGTATGGCTGCTTTGGTCATACATCTTAGACAACATTTAATCAATCCAACTATAACAAGTATTACTATAATTATTCTAGTAAATAGAAGGGACCAAACCCGTGATCCAATCCCTGAGGGTAGCCAGCTGAAAATACCTAAAAAGGGGAGTGTGATATGGGGGATACTTGAAGCCAGTGGCCTTTTTGGTGTATCTGTGTGATATCCTGTTCTACTTCTGCTGAAGTATTTATCCAAGTGCAGCAGGACGCATGGCAACTGCACTAACTCTTTCTTGTTGGGCTAGAAGAAAGTCAAGGGCCATTATTTTATCCAGTACAACTTTAACCAAAGAACTTAGGAACTTCTGTTGAACTTCTGGGCTATCAGCAAGCTTATCAGTCATTTGAAGCACAGTGGCAGATAAATTGTGAATAGATTTTTCAAGTTTAGGAGTGCCAACAAGGAGTAGGAGGCCTCAAAGAAATGTCCATCCATCTTTGGGTCTATTATAGTGTTTTTGTTAGATCCTGTAACATATTCTCTTTTGTGACAAGTGAGAATGTTCACATCATTGGTTTAATGTATGCTTTCATTATAGGAATGGATATTTAGAGAGACTTTTAAAAGACCTAACATACATTGTCCTGTTATATTCCAACCATCCAAACAGGATAAAGCCCAGGTATGGGACTTGTCATTTGGATTTGGATTGGCAGTGGTTGGGTATCTTGATCCTCCACATAAATATACATACACATATGGGGCATATATTATGCTAGCTCATTGTGTTTATTTGGGAGAGGGATGGCTTAATGTATTTAGTCAAGCTAAATTTCTGTCAAGCAGTTGTTACAAATAGGCAATCATCCTAATCCTGGCCAATTCCACATTTGCAAACAAAAAGACTTCTTTTTATGTAAGCAGGCTGTTAAATTTCCTGTAGAGGCCACTTTCCAAAATCTGAGAGATGCACTATATGAAACTAAGGGCTTATTTTTACATTCTGAAGGGTTTTAGGCTGCTTCAGGACAATGTATGTCTCTAATCTGGGTTAGATTGAAACATGGAATGTGGGGTTGCGCTAATAACCTGGGGAATGCTACAGTCTCACACATATGTCTCACCTAACAGTGATATTAAAGTTGA